TGAAGACCTAAGCACTCCTAATAAGCCCTTGGTACCTTATCAGGAATAAACCCAAGGCACAACCCTTTGGCCGACTCCCACAGTCGTCTCTCGGCCTTAGGGGAAGAAATACCTAGTCGACTCTCTCGAGCCTAGGCGTTCGACTTCTGAGTCGGATTTTCAAGCCTTTGACATCTTATCAGAAATAAACCCAAGGCACAACCCTTTGGCTGACTCCTACAGTCGTCTCTCGGCCTTAGGGGAAGGAAAGACCTAGTCGACTCTCTCAAGCCTAGGTGTTCGACTTCCGAGTCAAATTTTTAAGCCATTGATACCTTATCAGGAATAAACCTAAGGCACAACCCTTTGGCTGACTCCCACAGTCGTCTTTCAGCCTTAGGGGAAGGAAAGACCTAGTTGACTCTATCGAGCCTAGGCGTTCGACTTTTGAGTCGAATTTTCAAGCCATTGGTACCTTATCAGGAATAAACCCAAGGCACAACCCTTTGGCCGACTCCTACAGTCGTCTCTCGGCCTTAGGGGAAGGAAAGACATAGTCGACTCTCTCGAGCCTAGGCATTCGACTTCTGAGTCGGATTTTCAAGCCCTTGATATCTTATCAGAAATAAACCCAAGGCACAACCCTTTGGCTGACTCCCACAGTCATTTCTCAGTCATACGGAGACTATGAAGACCTAGACACTTACATAAGACCTAGGCACCTAACCTCAGGGTTACCATTCTACGAAAAAAGGTATTCATAAGCCTAAGGTATGAATATTAAGTGTATGACCAATACTTAATTGATCTAAAAACTTAAGCAGTCATCTGTCAAATTCTGGTCAATTAAAACGCTCAGCCAAACTAAGGCATCAGGTGAACTAGTTGTCATAAGTCTCCAGTACGGGTCGACACATTATAACTAACTCACTTCAGCCAACATTTCAGACAAGAACAAAGCTACAAATCTAAAAGAATATAAATAATGAAGACAATCTCAAGAATGGAGACAAAAGTTAATTTTCATTCAATAAGAGTAAACTTCATTACAATTTTTTCTACAAAAAAAAGGAGATATGCAGGTCTTCAAAGCTCTCGACCAGATTCGGTAGTTAAAGTTGGTAGTCTCTGGGTGGTAGAAATTACAGAAGATTCCCCAGGAGCCCCAGCAATAGGCTGGACCTCCTCGTCACTCGTTGATAAATCCAACCCGCCTTCACTTTTCTCGACATGTTTCAACAAATTAAGACAGTAGGAGACGTAGGGAGGATAGAAGCGATCTGGAGTAGGATGAGAGTTACGAGGCACTAGTGAGGCAAAGTAGTTAACCCCGGCCTTACATGCTAAGGCCACCTCGGTTTTCCCTATAGGACCATGACGCCGGTCGTCACCCACCTTCTTTTTATGCTGCTCTAAATCCAGATGAACGAGTTTATTCCCTATTTTCTAGACAAGGGTCGTGGATGCCCGAAGCTTTCATTGCACCTCTTCAAAGTCCCTTCTTGTCTTCTCGAGAGATATGTGACTTGATCAAGCCTCTGTCTCAGCTGTCGTCCTGCGAAGCTTCTCGGACTCGACCTCCACCTATAGATGAACCATCTCCTTTTGAAGGTCCTCGATGGTCCCCACCTGATTAGAGAAATGGATTTGGAAGCTCTTGAGGAGCTCTTCCTTCTCATCCAGACTCCGGCACCAAGCGCCTTCTTTGTGAGCTAACTCAGCCTTCAAGACAGTGATCCTCTTCTCTGTCTCTTCCTTGGCCGACTTCTCTTTAGTCAGCCCTGCTTGGCATTCTAGGGAACGCTCAAGTCGATTGAATAGGGCGTGCTCCAGCATGGTCCCCCGAGCCAAACAAGCCTGGAAAGCTTGGTGTATGCCAACACTTGGCATATCCTCCAAAATCCTCCCGTCAGCACCATTCTCCATCTGGTTTGACAGAGTTTCAGCTCTCCCCTTGACGTCATCGTCCACCCCAATTGGATCCTTTCTAGGATGACGAGACACCTCAGGAATAGTATTAGGGCTAACAATATCCTTGGAGTCCGCTAGGGTCATTGTCTCCCTGCTAGGAAAAGACTCATCTATCCACCCTACATTTTCCAAGTGGTTAAGCTGATTTACTAGTGGACCCATCCTAGTTGGTTAGGGCCCCCCAACCGGTCCGATTGGGCATCGTCTCTCGACTCTTGTCCTCACCCTCAATTCAAAGACAATGCAAGCGACTTGAGGCATTAAGACAGCCACTTCCTCAGCGCTGAAGGCCCCCCTTAGCTTTTTATGATGCAGAGCAGTGGAACTCAACCCCTCGGTCCCTGCATTCCTCTTGTGACTTTTCGCCAATAGAGTAACGGGACTCGTCCTTACTGGGAAGCCAATGGAAGACAAGATCATGGATATGTTCACCGTTTGTATAAACACATCATCAAATAGAGCATCGCTCTCTCGTGGCCCGACATAGGAACAGACCTTTTCCAGATCCACCATCTCGGAATCACTAAGGGTGACTAGCCCCAAAGCGTATTCATTCGCCTCCGGCCAGCCCGAGCAGGTGAAGACGTTGTCGCCACCATAGACCCACACGAATCGCCTCCTCCATTATTCATCCAACTCCAAAGAATCTGAGAAAAGCTGGAACTCACCATGATAGTGGAAGGAGTAATGCGGACTCTTCTCAGCCGACCCCATGCTGATCAAATGCCTAAGCAATCTCTAGCTTGGTTGGACTCTAACACGGTGGCAAATGATGATGAAAGCCACCAGAATCCCTACTGAGTTTGGATAGAACTGGGAAGGGGGGACTCCTAGAGTGGCGTGCACCTTCTTGATAGAGGGGTGCAAGGGCAGTCGTAAGCCATGCTCCAAGTGGGCCAGGTACAACAGCACTCGACCCTCACCATGGTAATATACTGGCTTGCTCATCTCTGGTGCTGCCAATGTGAGAGTCCGAGGAATATTGTATTGATCATACAACTCCACCAAATTATCCATATAGACCTTTGAGCGGATAAGTAGGAGAATAGCGAGTCTCTCCTTATTACGGCCAGAGTTTGAAACTTGAGAGGCCAGGAAGATTTTTTCTTAAAAAAAAGCTTGGAGGAATATCAGGAATTTGTCAGAGCGAATGTTCGTAAGAGAATTATCTTAACATACAGGGGATATTTATAAGCTTTCAAGGAAGAGTATAGAAGAATTTCAAAGGACGCAGTGATTTTTTAGGCGACCAGGCCCAATCCACTTTGGAACATGAGGCGGTTCACTCGAAACACGAAGCGACGCCCTCATTTAATGCCTCACGTCCCAATACTCGAAAAGTGGAAGATCCTCAATTATGTCCATGACACTTCATCTCCCAAAAAGACGGTTCAGATCTTTGATAATGTCAGCCCTGAAAAACAGAATCAACTATGGATGCCCGATAAAGACTTCTCATTCTTTCGTCCCTAGCAGGCTTGTATTGATCAGAGCATATCTTATTTCTCTCGGAGCTGACTAAAAGTCGACTCCAAGTGAAAGGGGACAACCGTTATGGTGTTTACTCACCCAAGATACGGACTTTTACAAAATGATTTAATAAGAGTCTTAGCAAAATAACCTCAAACCTACTTAAGTGGGACAAACCCAACAGAGGCCTCGACCCCGCCAACTCATCAAGTCGACCTTCTTTCATGCCGACACGAAAGACGGGATCAGTCGACCATATCGCAGAGGACGACCCACTTAGGACACTCGACCACTCACTGGGCAATTCTCGGAGACATCTTGAGGGATATTCCTTGTTGTCGGCTAAGTTGAGGACTCGGCCCAGGCCTCAAGCCTCTCCCCTAGAGCATAATTTAATATTTTAGTCCATATCGGACAAACCTTATCTAGATTTTAGCCTAATGATCTCCGTAACTTGTCTGCTACCCACGTGCCTCCATGACTTATCAATCACTTCCCGGGAAATGTGGAGACATCCAATCCCATGCCGAAGTAACTTCCCCTCCAGTCGTCAGCCGACACATGTAGAACTAGAGATGATTCAGTATGCCCACGTGCCTTCTGCCACGCTATTAATCACTTTCTGAAAAATACGGAGACACCCTCTCCCATGACAAAGTGGCTTCCCCTCCAGTCGTCAGCCGACACATGTAGAATGAGGGATGATTTAGTATGTCCACGTACCTTCTGTCATGCTATCAATCACTTTTCAAAAAATACGGAGACACCCTCTCCCATGACGAAGTGACTTCCCCTCCAGTCGCCAGTCGACACCTATAGAGTAAAGAATGACTCGACCTCCAGCTCATACTTTGTCACCGTCATTTTCATGGCCAAAGTGACCAATTTGCTACCTTTATATACAGATGCTATTCACCATAGCCAGGGAGGGGAGAGGGCCATCTAAAAAAGGTTCGCAATCTAAAACCCCTGAAAGCACACACACACACAGTTCCTTTTTAACCACACTCAGGTTCATCAACTGACTTGATCGTTGGAGGTATCGCGGGGGAACTCATCCCCGCCCTCTTACGACTCTTTTTTATGCAGATTACTCGACCATCCTAATTTCAGAACCAGGCATAACGTCGAAGAAGAAAGCGGCCCCCCTTTTCTTTTATAAACTCCGTGACTTCAATTGGATGTGTGATATTTAACATCAACAAGAATGATTTAGCTTGAAAAACATCATGGTTTCCAAACGCATGATGTTTTATTTTTAGCAAAAACACCATGGAAACAAGGAAAATACCATGGTATTCAAACGAAGTTTTAGGTTTTGGTTTATAGCTTATGCCTAGCCGTTAGTGAACTTTAAAAGTGTTTTTTTTTCTGTTTCCTTTTTTTAAATCTGTTAAAGAAATTATAAATGTTAAATAATTACACATGTGATGATGACAAGCGGGCAACAAGCTGCGCCGCTAATCCTTTCTGTTTTCCTTTTTTTTTGCTACGTCAGACATTGTATGTTTTCTCACTAATAGATTAGCATAATAAAAAAAGTATAATTAGAGAAATGAAAAGGCAGTAACATTACTTACAAGAGTTGTAGAGCATCATGAAACAAGTGACCAGCAGTTCGCATGACCATTCGAATGTCTACTAATTTCCTTCTAAGCTCCCTTCTTGATGAGCCAAGGAGAGTGCACGGGGGGTCATTGTACGGGCACAAGAGCACATGTATCTGGTCCATGGCACGCATGACTCTTCGGAGGGCATGGCAAGTGGCTCCGCCTGCCCCCATTAATGTCTTTTCCAGCTTGTTTGCACGATGGCGGAAGTTATGGCATGCAACAAGGACGACACCTGAAGAAACTCTTTGAACATTTTTGAAGTCAATATTTGTAGTAATCTATCGTGCATTAATTAGGGGGAAATGATGTTTCTTTGGTAGATTATATTCGTTGAACTTAAAAATAAATCCCCTTAGTTATGAGTTGTGATCATAGTACCCATTTATTAGTCCCATGAATATTGATAATTTTCAGTTTCCAGTTGCCGAGAAACCAGGAGGAGGACCAGATGTAAGAGAGGTAGAATCTTCACCATGGAAGATACTGCGTTTTCTCTGGTATAGGATTAGTACTCATTTATTAGTCCCATGAGGGATTTGATGCAATCTCTCTCCCTAGCTAGTAGGTTTTTCGATAAGGAGCATTTTACCCTTCCACTCCTTCTCAACAACTGGAAACTAAAAATTTTCCCTTGCAAATAAATGGATTTTGATTATAACTTTGTGTTGATAATTTTTACTTACTAGCCATTTTTAATTAAAACAAGTACGTACACTATTGCAATCAATGGGTCACAACACTTACATTGTGCTCAGAGCCTTGTGGACCCTACGTGTGAAAGTGACTTTTCTTGAAGCCCTTCTAAGAGCAACTCCAACCATTGGCTCCATTTTGGAGTCCCCACTAAAGCATATTCTAAGGAATATGCCAAAATAGAGCTTTGCAACTCCAATCACACTCCTCCATTTCCAACTCCATTTCAATTTCTCTCCATTTAACAATTCTTTTACTTAATTTAAAAATATATAAAAATTATAAACTAATAATTAAATAGACATAAGTGGATATCTAAAAGTAGTTAGTTAGTTTGAAGGGTAAATTAGGAATTTTTTGGGTGAATATTGATATATATATACAGATTTTATATTTCAATATTAGTCTCATTTTGAAGGTATCGACGAGACATTTCCAATGATATTATTTTTATTAAAAATATTTAATATATTAATATATATACACATATTTTAAATAAGTAAAAAATAATAATGGGACACAAGTGGAATAATGAAATGTTGTTAAGGAGATTGAGGGTTAATATTGACATTTTTTAGGGGGAATAGTAAAATAGAGGGGGCTGCATATTTGGAGAAAAAACTCCAAATATGCAGCTAGGGGGTTGGGTTTGCAGCCGAGCTCCAAAATTTGGAGCTCGGTTGGACTTCAACCGGGCTGCATTTTGGAGAAATGCAGCCCGGTTGGAGCTGCTCTAACCCATTAAAAGATTCAAAACTTTTTTTTTAAAGATAATATATACTACTTATAAAAGAGAATATTCATGTTAAAACTTTCGATTATTTTTTTTGCCGTCTCAAATTTTAATAATTTATAATTATACCATTACTTTTAAATAATTTTAACTAATTATCCATAACATCTTATTAATTAAGACCTCCTTACTTTCCCACGTATATATTGAGGCATTCATTAAAATATAATTAATATAAATACCTTTACAATGATAAAAAATTTATAAAATATGTTATCATTTATTATAAATAATTATTAATTATAATAAAATGGAATAAAATTATTAGTGTAATAAAATATTTTGTAAAATAACTATACATAATTTATTAAATAATATATTATTAAATTGAAATGACTATTTATAAATTATAATAGAATAGTAAATTGTCAAATATTCTTAAAAAGTATGTCATTCACTACTTATAAATATGCTATTAAATTGTTAGATACCTATTTATAAATTATAACAAAATAATAAAATACTATTATAAATAAAATAACACACTATTAAATATTATTAAAAAGTATATTATCATTCAATAAATAATACAATAAATTTTTATAAATATTTTATAGTAAAATAATATAATTATTTTAATATTATAAATTAACTAAGAATTACACTATTATTTAATACATTATAGTGAATAATAGTACTATAATTATAATATATATAGATATTATAAATAAGAATAGTTATAAATAGCATATGATTTATTATACTTATTCTAAATTACAAATAAAAATATTATATTATATATTATAGTATTAAATAATTATTTAATTTGTTATAAGTATTTAACTAAATTATGATTAAATTATAATAATTACCCAAGATGTAAAAAATTACTCGTGTAATTCTTTATACACAACTTTATTTATTAATGTAAAAAAATTATTATATATATATATATATATATATATCTTTTAATTTAAATTTATTATCCATTTTCAGCATCTAAAAGTAGTTTAAATTAATGCTGGTAAAAAATAGCAATAACAGTAGATTAAAAATACCTAGTCAAGAAATAAAAATTTTAAAAATATGTAATAGATTAAAAATCAACGTCACTGTATAAATTAAATGAATTACATATAATTTTACTAATAACATTAATTGATAGAAGACTATATTATATAAAACTGATAAAAGATTAATATAATAGCTTAACATTAATTGATGATAATGTCTAAACATTGATCTCTAATTTTAATAATATTTATAGGGTAAAAAATACAATGAGTTATATATAGAGAAACTATCAGAATATTTAGAGATATCCTTCAAAAGAATCAAGATATTTTTATTTCAAATAGAAAAGTGAAGGAAATAAATCCAAAATTCAGAAACGTTCATGAATCACTTCAATTGACATTGATAAAAGCCATATATGTCAAAGAACCATTGATTGAATTCCTTTTGAAGAACATATTGAATAACTTTATCCTAAATAAATAAGCATTCTTCATGAAAGATACAAGAAAAATTACTAAGTTTTTTTTAAATTTTCATACCTTATTCTTTAACTAAAGCAATTATAAAAGTAATATAAAATTATATATATATGAAAATCTTTCAATAGAAACTAAACTGAAGCCATTGATCAACTATGTTACGAGATATAACAAGCCAGATAATATGAGGTAAATCATTATAATGGGCAAAAGGTATACACATGATACTTATTTACGATAGCATAAGTTAAATATTTACGATAGCATAAGTTAAAATTTTAAAATTGACATTTTTCTTTTTCCTTTATAGTGGCATGACTCGGCGTGTAATTCTATTTGGGGATATGACTATCAACGAAGGATCAATTATTAAAGATACGGTCAAAGATAAGCATGTAATAGCCCCATCAGATTTCTATCCCTTTTTCATGAATTAAACATATCAAAATTAATGTGATGTCACAATTGATGTAAACGATGAATACACAATTCTAGACTTGCCCAAGAAAAAGATAAAGGTGGAGAAGAATTTTTTGACTCGATAATAAAATAAAATATAATCAATAAAAGATCTAGTTTCTGAATATTTTATAAAATAGTTTAAGTTTTCTGAGTAAAATTAAGAATCTTTAGAATAGATTTTCATGAACTCTTTTAGTATTTTTATATGCTTATGTGGATGCTTTATCATATAAAAATGTACTAGAGTTAGTATTAATCTTTAGTTTATAATTTTTTAAAGTCTATCAATGATTAGAAACAAATTTCATATACTCTTTAGTTTTTTAGCCCACTTTTAATTAATTATCTTGGCATGTTGGCTTTAATTATTCATCTTTCTTTTATAATGATATTTTTCAAGTGTTTTGAACTTTCACAACATCATACTTTCTCAAGTCAAGCTTGGTTTTATGTCAATCTAAATAACATGAAAATTCAAGCTGACTTTGGATTCCATTTGTTTCATGTCAATTCAATTATTAACATGAAAATTTAAATTCAATATAGCCCATTCAAATAAACATTAAAAAATCATAATGTTAAAGTTTAGAGACATAAGCGAGCAAAAACTATCAGAGTAGAACCGATGAATAAATTTTTGTAAGGAAATAAATTAGATATAATTAATCATGATATTTGACCACGTGCACTGCACATGCATAAAACCTATTATAATAATTACCCAAGATGTAAAAATTACTCATATAATTCTTTGTACACAACTTTATTTATTAATATAAAGATTTATTAATTATTCAATTTAATAATTTATATTATTACAAAAGTTACTCTATAACTTTGCACTCAAAGAGAAGAATTGAAGATAAAAAATAGTATGTCCACGTGCAAGGCATGTACATTATAAAACTTACAAAGTTAAGAGTATAACTTTGTGCATCTGACATGTGATCGCAGCTAAAACATACTTTTTCCTGATTTGAAACTTGATTATTTTATACTTTAGACAAAATTATCTATCCAAGTTTATCTACATGGAAACAACACAAAGCTTTTTTTTGTCAGTGAAAAACTTTATTTCATCACCAATTATGAAGTTATTTACACCTCAAGATACTCAGCACAAGGCAACTGAGATCTCAGTTATATATACAGAACACCAACCAACAGAAACAATCAGACCCTAACCGGAGATAGGGGACTATTAAGCAAAATGGTTGAAATTTCAAATTTGATGATATTTACTAAGTGGTCAGGGTTGCTAGTTTGCTGAGTGAAGAGCCTAGCATTCCTCTCTCGCCAAATGAAGTAAACAGTGGCCGTCAATGCTAATCTTCTGAGTTTCACCTGATACCCTTTGCCTCTCGATCTTGTGAACAAAATGATCAGCTGATTCCAGCTACATGACTTCCATTTGAACTCCAGCCATTCCATAACACAGTTCCAAACATAGAAGGAAAATGAACATTCGAAGAACAAATGATCCCTCGATTCCATGCTAGCACCAGAGCATAAACAACATAAGTTTGCATTGATGATACCTCTCTTCAGTAGTGTATCCTGTGTTTTCAGTCTGTTCTAGATAGCCAACCAACTGATAAAAGAATGCTTCGGGGCATTTAGGCTCCCCTAAACAATATTATGCCATGCCACACTATTGGTAACATGTGAGAAGCTCTATACATAACTGAGAGTTTTAACTTTGAGTTAGAAAAGCAAGACCTGATCAGATTCTTCAAACTTTCAACTCCTCCAAATTTTGTCAAAGCCTTATCCCTTGTTTTGATCAACTGTTTCCACATCCAAGAATCACCTGGTTTAGCTTTTACTAGCCTAATGTCTCTATGCTTGAGATAATTCTC